CCAGCTCAGATACTCCAGGATTCTGTGATTCTCTCATTAATTGTTCCTTCTCTGTGCTTCCCTCCTTTCCCCAGTTCTTCCTTCAATTCCACTTCAAGATGGAGAAGCCCCCGGCCCCTCCGAACCTCCCCCCGGGCCCCCCGACCGTGAAGCGGCCGCCACCCCCTCCCCTGATGAACGGGCTGCCCCCGCGGCCTCCCCTGCCCGACTCCATGCCCCCCCCTCCCCCCGGGGGCATGGCCCTGCCTCCCATGCCCCCCTCCGGGCCGGTGCCACCCCCTCCCGTGCCACCCCAGCTGCCCCCAGCGCCCGGGGTGCCCCCCCCTGCTCCCCTGCCCCCCATGATGCGGCCGCCGCTGCCCACCGAGGGGCCGGGCACCATTCCCCCTCCCCCTCCCTCCAACTGAAGCCCCTCCTGGACCCCATCCCATGGGATTTGTGTGTTTTTAACTGCAGCTCCCCCCTGATTCAGGGAACAGTTCCTTTTTGTACGTCTGCAAATCCGACTGGATCCTGTAGGTTTATTAAAAGCTTTTCAATTTTCCTTACCCTCTGGTTTCCTGTGCTGCCGTGGGGTCCCTTCCCTCACCCCTTAGATACAGGAAACATTCCCAGGCTGGTTATGTTTTGGAAATTCTCCAAAGAGGAGGCAAAGGGATCTCGAGGCACCCCCCATCCTGACTGGGTATCTCCATCAGAGAGATACCTGATGAATGTTCCGYTAATTATCCCAATTAATCAGTTCAGATTCAACCAAACCCTTCATCCCTGTTCATTCACTGAGAGGGACATGGAAAGTCTCCCATTACTGATATTAAATCTTAGTTTGTTATTTRATTCATGAAGTGTCTGTGCTGTGGTGTAGCACCTGCTGTCACGTGGTTTTATTGTTTGTCCTCCTCCCACTGACAGCTCTGTTTGGGCAAAGTTTTCATTCTCTGTGGGTTTATTTACACAACATGTTTCCTTCCAACAATCACTTTTATGGGTTCCCATAAAAAGCAGCAGCAGCYCTGACTGCTGGCCTTTCCCAGGTTCCTGTCACTGAACTGGGGAGCTCTGGGGGGCTCAGGGGGTGAGGGCATGGCTGGAGCTGGGGTTGAGGGGCCCCAGGGGCCCTGCAGCTGCACCCCCTCCATGGGGGAATCAAAGTTTTCATCTCTGCTGCTGGGCTGAGAGGGTCCYACTCACTCCCAAAATCCCAGAATCCCAGACTGGTTTGGTTGGGAAGGGACCTCAAAGCCCACCCAGTGCCACCCCTGCCATGKCAGGGACACCTCCCACTGTCCCAGGCTGCTCCCAGCCCCAATGTCCAGCCTGGCCTTGGGCACTGCCAGGGATCCAGGGGCAGCCACAGCTGCTCTGGGCACCCT